ATATAACAGCATTTGGAATCCAGTTCTTATTCGTCCGTCCTTCCTTCCACTTATGTGGCGCCCTCTGTCGGTGAACGGATGAATGATTCAAGATGTACACGCAGGGGAACTTGCTACTAAATGTGTTAAAATAGTGTGTATACTACCTAACCATGTGACGCCCTGTTTTTACCCAAAAACGTCGAACTTGGCGAAGATTTAACATGAGGCTAGCAGTGCGTAACAAATTTTCAGGATAGTTATGTATTGCATTTTATGAAACCGAAAAAAAAATCGGAAAATGACAGTTTAAGAGATTATGAAAATAGTAGAGTAAAATAAATGTTATCATTATCAAGTTCCGTGTTGACCCTGTGATAACCCCAGTATACCGGCAAATAAAGACGACGACCACATGGATGATATGAGCTTCGAATTCTGTCAATTGTCAGGGGAAATTCATCGCCCTCTTGTACGGTTTCGTATCTGTCACCTTGCTCTCCATGAATTGTGTGGTAGTAGTAAGCTGGAACATTTTTTCCTTGATAATTCAAAGTCATATTCTCAGAACTGTTGTGGAGTAGGTTTCTTCGGATGATGGCAAGATACAGAAACGACACCAGCTATTGACAGTTGAACAGATTTATTGAAACACTATTGAGACACTACAAAGACAACACTTATATACATTCTTAATTTTGGCGGGAAGGGTATCTATTACACCGTTATCATTGGTCAGTAAGGATGCGCTATGACTGGCTGTTTTTTACATCCGGCCATATGGGATTGGTCACATCGGGGAGACATATGATTGGGTAAGAGGTTGAAGGTCGCTGAAGGCCGAATCCTAAACTGTCACCAAGCTCGGTGATTTTGATTTCCAACAACTGTCGGGTTTATTTACAGGGCTCATCAACTTGCTTGGCTCGTGTTTTTTTCGTATGATGGGGGTGAACGCACTTCTGTACTTCGCCCTTCAGGACGGCGTTTGCTCCACATTAGTTGGCGTGTCCCTGTAGGTTTATTGACACGAAAGATTCAGTATGTCCTGGGCATAGGCAGCGGAAAACCATATTTTGAAAACGTGATCCGACGACTAAACATATGACGATTTTTCAAAACTGAAGTTGTTGACTCGATATTCCGAGCCGATAGCCGATAAATTCCGAGCCGATAGCCGATAAATTACGCTATGGAAATCAGACAATCATATCATATTTATTAAATATCACAACATACGTCGGTAAAACTCGCATTTTTTTTAAATATGTGCGAATATTCATGGACCGTGTTCTAATCCGCTATCTGACAATTTCTCCGGATCTAATTTAATCCTTGTTTCGTCTACTATGGCTTTCTGGAGCGGTATTTACCAAAGCCAATCCAATACCGCATAACTTGAAAATATTATGTCGGGTGTTACCATACTTGGACTGAATTACTGTAAAACATGTCATTTTAGCTAACCTGTAATTTCGCTAATTCAAGATGTCGCTAATTCAGAATAAAGTATATTCTCACAATGAGATTATTGGCATTTTAGCTAAATTAAAATTTTGTTCATTCATGTATTGAGTCAAATTCGTTAAAATTGCATGTAGCTATTTCAGTGTGTTTTACAGTATCTTACTTTCTGATATACAATATACAAATGTACGGATAAATAGAAACATTGGATGGACTGAAAAGACGTACACCTTCCCTGAACCCAAGGCTGTGATCACGGCTATGATATTTCTCGTGAAGGAATGTGTTTGTTATGATATCTGATTTCAATTTAATTCAAACCAATAACGGATATCGGATATGATTCAAGAAAGAAGTGTGCGCCCCGTAACGTTATACGCGTGTTTAAAAATATGTTATCGGTCTTTAACACAATTTTGACACAATCCGTCGAATTCCGAACCGTACAGCACCCTTTAAGGTCACGGGTGCCGACCTGCAGTTATCAGCTGTCGTTGTAGATATTATTAGTGATATGTCGGCAACAGATAGTATTCTCATCTGCCGCGACTGTTACAAATGTGTCGGTTAGAGGTTCCCAATTAAAAAAAAATGGTCGAGGGGAGGGGTTGTCGTGAATGTTTAAAAAAAATTGCCACGACGATTGGATAATGTGAATGATTTGAGAAAAAACGTTGTGTATATGTAAATGAAATATTTGAAAAAAATTTACTCGAGAAAAATAAGCATACAAAAGGCTTTCCGTCATGAAAAATACGCGCTATGACGAATTTCTGAAACTAACATAATTATCAGAATAGTTTTTGTCGGTCCCAATTTGGTTAAAGCGCGGTAGTCGTCGCGCTGCGCATGTGCGAGATATATGGGTCTCATATAAACAAAATGGCGACCCTG